GTATGGCGGATATGAAACCTATTNTGAACCATAAAAAACATCATTAAAATTGTGCTCAACTAAAAACTTTATGACCATTGACCTTCTGACCATTGAAACCTTCTCAATTTTCATTAAGTTTTGTATCAACCAAATGGTGAGAATATCTCTGTGTGCTTGATTCATACACAGGATGGTGAAATTACTTTTTTCTTATATGTGGAAGCAACTTATTTGAATGAGTTTGCTTACCACCAGTGTATGGACTGATGATGATTTCAACTGCTTTGCATCGTATAACCAAGACCAACTTTGGCACTACAATGGAATGATACCACAAGTTTTCTGCCATCGGTGCATGGAATCAGCTAAAATTTGGATAATGGTAATATTGGACTCGAGTCATTTTTGTGTAGTGTCTCATATTTTTTTTTTTTTTCCCCTAAAACTTCTCAACATTCCANATTTGGATAATGGTAACATTGGACTCGAGTCATTTTTGTGTAGTGTCTCATACTTTTTTTTTTTCCCTAAAACTTCTCAACATTCAAAGGGCAAAGGATAACCAATATTGTCCGTAAGAGGTCTCTAAACAAGCACACCACATCCACTTCCAATAGAAATCCTCTGCAATAAAGAATTATTATATCCTATTCATTTCACAAATAATGTAATAAGCAACAAATCTAAACAAAACCTAGCTATGCTCTGTTCAAAAATCTAATGACAATCAGATTAAGCTTTCGGTGACTCCTAATCTGGCTGCACTTTATTTGGTATAGACGAATTTTCGTGATCCATAACTTTTGAGTGGCTGATAAGATTCTCAACCAAATACACTAAGACGGGAAAGAAAGAGAGGTGTCCGTTATGGGAGACTAAGAGTCCTAATGCATTAGGGCTAATTAACGTAAATTATGAGTTTAATTAATTTGTATTAATTTCAATTTAATATTGGAGAAAACTTAAAGAGCAGGAGCCTCTGAGATTTGAAATGATAGGATATGTTTGGAATTAGTTATTTAAGTAAGGTTGTTTTAGTTGATCAAAAGTTTTTCACTTTTGTTGACATTTTATAGTAGTATAGATATATACTTCTAACAAGAATCAATTAAGGAGAGGGATAGTTTGAGAATTTTTTTTCTCTCTAAATTCTATTTTTTATAATTTTGAATTATAAAAATTACAAGGTGACCCTTTTTCACATGGGGTGGGTGGTTACTATCCTAAATGGGATAATGGTTATTTGAATGCGTAAGATCAACTTTTCTTATTTGGTGAGTTAACATTGAACGGTTACAATACGTGTCAATATTAACGTGTGTTGTCACCATTACACTCAATATGAGAGGTCGTGAGAAAAGGAATCTATATCCGACACTAGGTTAAAAGGAGTTATCATATCATAAAATTAAGATTAAAGTGCCCAATAATGAGCTGCCATCTAAGTTTAAAAAATTCAAAAAAAAATCTCCCACCCGTCTTTCATCTTTCATCTCTCATTGTAGTGGGAGACTGGTCTTAACTCATCGCGATTAGTCGCTCTCTCGTCTCTACAAATCATCCAGTTTGGCCACCACACATAGGAGTTAGTTCTATTAATCCTTTTTATTCTGAAATGAAATCTAGGGGTTTTTTTTTGGTTGAGGAGTTGGAGTGTTGTTGGAAGTGGTTATGGTTTTTATTGATGTATTTTAGGTTGTTTAGGTGTATTGAATGTTGTTGGTCGAGTCTGAATTACGAGCCCGAGTTGGGTTGGGATCGAAATTTTTATACATTGGGTTGAGCACTCTCTAATCCGTGCAAGTTGCACTCCTAAGAGCATTTCTAATAGATTCTTTATTGTCACTTAATTCTCTATTTTAGAGAATTAACCGTTAAAATTTTATTTTCAATAGACTCTTTAAAATAATAATAATATTGTGATTACTAAGTTTTTTATCGTAAGTGATGTGACACAATCTCTATCATTAAATATTAATGGGATCCACCTATTTGAATAATATTGTGATTACTAAGCTTTTTTATCCTAAGTAATGTGACACAATCCTCGTCATTAAATATTAATGGGATCTACTTATTTGATGGTGAAAAGTGTGTCACATCATTTGGGAAAAAAAATTTAGTAAGAAATTTTGGTCATCATAGCATTATTGTTAAAATAAGAGTCTAATTTGACTCTTCAAATTTGGAGAGTCAAACTCAATATTTACTCTATTTTTTTAGAACGAAAAAAATGTATATTTGACAAGATAAGGATACATTTTATAATATCATATCGGTTGCCACAGCATAAATATACATTTTATCATTATAAATTTCATATCAGTTGTGACAATATAAATATACATTTTATCATGTTGCAACCGATATGAAATTTCAATTCATTTTTTATTATAAATGGATGTATATACCAATTATGGTTGTTGCACTAAAATAAATCAATTAAAAAAAAAAGGAAAAATGCTACATAACCCAAATGGAACTCAAAAATTGAAACTTAAATGTATATTATCCCTTGGATGAATGTTGGGTAAGTGGATTTCATTGAAAAAATTGATGAGATTCACTCATCTAAGAGATGATATGTAATATGGGCAGAATTTTAGACATGGACTGCCATAACCTCGGAGCCTAATAAGCCCAGAAGACCATCGCCTGTTTATTAACTCAAAGGGAGAACTCTCAATCAGCTCACATCGAAGAGTAGAGATAGTTGAAAGGAGAAAGTCCAACGACACCAGAGGACCAGCATTGCAAACTAGGCCCAACTCAACGATTAGCCAAAGAATAACCCAGTATTGAGAAGCCAAGTTCTCGCCTTGGAGCGCCCCGCTATGCCACATGTCCAAAGGACAGGAGACCATCTTTGACGCCCGTGACAGCTGCACCCTCTCAAATACAGAGAGTAGTGGTGCGCATAACGATCCAGAGATTGTGGGCATAACAACGTCGAATAGCGGAGACTATTGTAGGACAGTGACAGAGGACCCCACAGAATCAACAGAAAGGTAGAGGAAACCACTAGAAACCCTATAAGGAAGGACTGATATAAATAAAACAGTGTCAATCTACGACTTTAAAGAACAAGAGACTTCATTACAGTGAACGTAGTCTCAATCTTTCAGTTAAGGTAAACCACTTACACTCTGTGTCTTCCATTATTCGCAAGTCAACCTCATACTTAATTGAACTCACTAATTTAAGTGGCAACTCATCGATTGGGCTTGGACTATTATTTCCGAGACCCCATCAATATGAATTTGAGTTACAATATTTTGGATTTTAAGCATTTCTCAAAAAAAAAAAAAAGTCTAAAATTGAAAACAAAATTATGGCTCAAATGATGAGAAAAATTCTCAAATCCAATAATAAGTGAGCCCAACAATACCTAATAAATTCTTTGAATTTTATCACATTATTTAAACTATAAATATAGTTCCTAATTTGATCACTTTAGGATTTCATGTATATTTCCACTATAGATTCTCAACTAGACTTTGACCTAAAAATAAATTCTCACTTAGGCTTTTTATATATTGCTTTTGCTTTAATTGAATTTTCTCATATACTCGTTTATATCTACCATAAAGAATAATGCTCACCAAGCGTGCAACAAGACTATGCTTTTGACAAGATGCCTTGGTCTCAATCTATATGATGGAAAGGTCTTCCTAAAAAGCTCTTTTTCATATTTTTTTTTCTGTTTGTTTCCTAAGAAAAGTAGATTTCCTCCAATGACTACGTTCATTAGTTATTTTAGTTGATGTTCTTGCATTTTTAAATAACCAAAAATGAAATGTTGAATTTTCTCATTAATCAAATTTAGTGTTAGATGTGCAGTAGTTTGTCTGAAATTATTGTTCATTTTAGTCACTTGTTTAAGAGAGTTTGGGCCCTTTTCTTTTTTTTTTTTTCGTTTTTCTTTTTTTCTTTTTTTCTTTTTTGATAACTTGAAGTTTGGACTGTTAGCTCAGTTTATGTTTTCAGATTCGGAATTAATTTACAAACCATCAAAAATAATTTCACCTCAAAATTAGTCACTCAATCAAGTTAAATTTTAGATCATGTGAATAAAATTCGATTTAAATTTTATAAACTTCACATGATTAAAATAAGTTGAGTAAGTTAAATTTTCAAAAATTAAATTTGATTTTTAATTCGAATTGATCAAATAAAAAAATTATTGCATCATCCAACATAACATATTGGATTATTGTATAATATTTTTCATGAATTAAGATATTAATTATGAAAATAAATCTATTAAATGTTCGGTCAATTAATTTTTTAAGTTGATCTCTTTTTCTCGCAAGTCATAAGCAGCACTTTATTTAATGTTATAATTCTATTTGTGATTTCATATAATTATTTAATTCTTTTTAATATTTATTAAATCTATATTTTTAGTTCTACAAGTAATAATTTTGCAAATATATAAATAATTTAAAGGAATGAAAATGCAAATAATGTAATGGAACGAAAGTACAAATGAACTCATTGACAGTAGAAGAGATATGAAACTGAGAAAAGTTGGTGGAAATAAACAGAGAATAATTCTTTAATTAGGCTTTTTAAATTTTGAAAGTGAAGTTAATGACATGCTGTTTTTGTTTTTTTTTCTTTGTTTGAGAAAATAAAAAAACAAGAACAAAAAGAAATGTCCAACGACCACTCAGATATTCTCTCAATGGTAAAATCATAAGACTCCTAACCATACCTAAAATACCTCTCAAGATCAAGACCAGACCTAACTAGACTACCACAACAGTCAACCACTAAACTTAAACTCCAATGGTGATTGTTATAAATAAATAACTCGGTTTTAAGATGACAAAATTAATATATATTGAATTAATGTCCACGACAATTGCCTGAATTACTCAAATGAAAAAAAAATAAAATTAACCAAAACTCGACAGAAACTTGAAATAAACAAACACAGTTGACCGCCATAAGAATTGTCCACAGAAGCAAAGGCAAAATAATGAAAATATACAAAAAAAAAAAAAAAAAACAATCTACATTGCCGAATACACCAGAAAAAGGGAAAGGAACATTCATCAGTTACGTTTCATGGGGGCATGGAGAGAATCGTATTTTGACAGAGAAATAGAAAATATGAGATACAGATCAAGAGTTCCACCTAACAAAAATAAGGTGGCTAAGAAGCAAGCCAATCATCATCAACAACCATTATATCCTGAATGAAAACAAAACAAAAATACCAAATCCTTATTAAAGACTAAACCCTTTACAAACAGATTTTGTTGGCCACAAAAATGAGTTGCTCCTCTCACCTGTGTTCAGGAACCATGTGTACTTGTTGTGTCGGAGGGAGCATAGGCCAGCCAAGAAGTCGAGGTGAGCCGGGTGGGGATGAATGTTGACTAGGGGAGAAGAGGCTCAGCTCCACAAATGCACCTGAGGTTTCGTCTCTCTCCATAGCCCGAAAAGATATCGATCCACGCTTTGTTGAAGCCGTAGGGCTACCTTCCATACTTTCTTCCAGAGCGCTTTGGTTAGCAATTAGTGAAGCAGTGTCATTGTGTTCCTCACTACTCCTCCTAGCTTCTCTGTCTTTTTGTAGATTTCTCAATGCCAAAGAATCGGCAACAGGCCAGTATACAAGCATGCAAATTCCAACACCCGCACAACATAAAAAGGAAAGAAAAGCCGAGAATGCAAATACTTCGAACAGAATAGTGTCTGGCCCAGACAAAACAGATAAACCAAGAAATAGCACCCTTAACGGCAAGAAACTGGAAACGGAGAATATCAACGCGTAGACTCTCTTTTGCAAACCCTTATTGATGACGAAATGTAAAATCCGCCTTCCGAGCCAGAACATATAGCTAGTTAGGGCAGTAGCAAAAAGACCAAGCAGAATAGTACTCATTAAAGGGTAAGTGCAGAGGGCAACATCACCATGGTCAGCAGCTGTTCTTATGAAATAATGCGGCAATTTGTGCATATTCTTGTGATTGCTAAATTGTGGTCCTATTAAAATAACTATGAGCTGAAGAACAAACACTGGTAAGCAATAGAGAAGAACACACCCTGCTGTTTTGCGATTCCACTTCTGGGTCCATGTCCCAGAATGCGTCTTCTGTAAGGATGCCCGAAGGAGAAATACGAGGGTGAGGAAGAGGCAAGGTTCTGCAAACCCTAGATTTGAAACAATGTAGCACTTGCAAACAGTCTCCTGCCATTTCAGGCTAAGCGCATTCAATAGTCTTCCCTCGCTTCTCAACAAATGCAGCCGAACAATCTCCCCGAACCCCCACCAGATAGCAAACAAGATGAATGTGATGCGGATAATCCAAGGACCACTAAAATAACCAAGTTGAATATAACCTTGACTACGGACGCGAGTACGAAAATAAAATGAGTACAATATGCAGAACAAACCAAGAAGAATCAAAAGAGCAACAAGACAAATAGTCACCACACCAAGTGCATCAACAACAGATCTTGTCAGGGGCATTACCCAAAGTGCAGATTCCACGCATGCTCTCTGCCAGCATGGATATTACCAAATTAATACTGATGTGCTCCTGTCAAACCCCAAATACATATTATGAACACCCTGGTGATTACTCAGCCACTCCCCAAAAAACAATCAAGTAGAGTGAAGAAAGGATTTTTCAACAGCTTTATAACCGGGCAATGCCTATGCCATCAACTGCAAAACAATCCTTGCACTCTCAAAGCAAGCATCACTCCCTCTATAATACGGGTAGCATTCTGCAAATGCAATCCGCCCCATTTCAACAATAGCTTGCATTAGTTTTCAATTTTTTTTATTTCAAGCCCTTCAAGCATAAGCCTTTTAGATAGACCATCCACTCAAAGCACCTACAATATAATACGTACACAGATAACCCATAAGGCTAAACAGAGAAGAAAAGAACAGGCATCTTTAGTGGAAAACATACAAGTGAATATTCCTTGGGTCTAAAATAAAATGGAGCTAGTAGGCACACAATGAAAGTTTCGAACAGATTTCCCTTGCTTTACCGCTCCAGGGAATCCATTAAAAATTTCAGTAAAAATGGAAATTCAGCCACAAAAAAATAAATAAATAAATAAACCTAAAACCATACTCCAGCCTGCCTAATTTGCAAGTTTTTGCTCCATGTACTATGGAAGAAACAAATGATTTTAAAATGCATAACGAAACTTTTATGCAAATTTAAATTCACAATTCAAGCCATCAATAGTACTCCTCTCCCTCACCCAACTCATTGGATACTATAAATCTATAATAACTTCCAAGAACGGGATTGCAATTCATTAGCACCATCTTACTTCTCCTGAAAGTACTAAAGAAAATGGGTTCCACAATAAAAAGGCTGAACTTCAAACAAATAATCCATCAAAAAACTGCATTACAAACTTCCCACAATTCTTTTGGAGCTCTTTTTTAGTGAAAATCAATTCACATCATCCCGCAGAACACCAGGCTCGTGAGTGAAAATCTCGCTTCTATAGACCTCATTCAGTATAGAAATCAAACATATAAAAAGGGGCAGTAGGAAAGGACAAGGGAGACTACGGCCGGGGGGTTCTCCAATCCGCATGATATTTATTAAAAAAAGAAAATCATAAAAGATTCTCAATTTGTCGCTACATCTAAGTCATTAAGTAGAACCGGAAGACATCATGTCCTACTAAATTTGTGCTGCTGGCAGGAAAACATTGGCAATACAAAACAATAAAGTGGCACTACCAACCAAAAACATTTGAACGAAAAAACTGGAAATATGATAACCACCTCACATAATACTTCTAGAAAGCAACAAGGTATTGCTGACAAAATGCAGCAGAAGATAAAATAAATGCAATCAACCCAGATCTGACACCACATTGTGATACAATTGTACTAACCACTTCAGTTGCCATATAGATTTCCATTTAGCTTTGTTTCACATTTATTAACTTGAAGAAAACTTCCAGGATATGTAATCAATATAGTTTAAAATCCAAACTATTAAGTGCAAAAGAAGGAATCAGGTGGAATGAGAATAACTAAACTTCAAACCAACTCTTTAGCACAAAATAACAATACAATGTGCTACACAAACCGTTAGTGTACATCACATCTGCAAATATTTTTATGGCTATATAGGTATATGAATTTAAAAATAAACTGGTTCAAAATGATAGTAGATTACCTTTTTTAGCGTATTTTTACCATGCACAAAAAACCTATTTAACAATTTGAGATGATTTAATATCTTTTTATGGTTTTCTAGATATCAATGCCGTAAAACAAACAAATTTGTAGCTCAAAAATTAAAAATATTAAAGATTGTTTTACCAAATGTCAGGAATTCAAGATTCAAAATTTTTCATAAATACTCCGTCAGACTCTTATTTGAACAAATTTCACCAAGAACTTAAAATTCCACCCAAAAAAAGCGCGTTACAAATTACATTTTCAAAAATCCGAGTATTCAATTCAATCATCTTTCTTTGAGCTACTGAATGTCAGGTAACTTCAGAAACTACAAACTAGGCATAATATTTACACAGTGCGTCCAGTGGTAATTGCAATCCAATTCCAAATCTTTCTTTATTTACCAACAAATGCCCATAAACACAGAAAGAAACCACGACCGGGCAAAAATCACAAATATTTCGACAGTAAAGTGTCATATTTGTGAGTAGCAGAAGAACATATACGATGAACAAACGCTCTATCAAAACAAACGCAAAAGGAATCTCTTAAAGAAACATGCATTGATCCAAAATTATGAACAAATAACCCTAAATCGAAGAAATAACTGCATGTAATCAGAAGAAATAAACAGAAAAAAGCACATCAGAAGAGAACTTACAAGGCGGAGAGTCTCGATCCGTTGAGCTCGCACGTCAAATCTCCAACTCCCGCAAGCAGATTGAAAACCCTAAGAAATGTAGAGGGAGAGTGTTGGAGAGAGAAAGTGAGAGGAGAAGGAAAGAGAAAGAGAGTGAGAAGGGACGAGAGGTAGAGAAGAGTATGTGTGAGAGAGAGAGAGTGGGACTTTGTTGGAGACAGCCTGTCTCCAGCAAATAAACCAACCAAATCAGAAATTAAAATAAAAAATATTGAAATAAAAGACAGGCTGTACACAGCTGGAGTGTCCGAGCCTGGAGGTTCGGAGTGTAGTTGGGACAGGTACGCGCCTACGTGGCAATGTGACCACGGCGGCGTTTACGGTGAATGTTCCTTTTCTCTGAGTTGTGGCGTGGAAAAAACGTACGGTGCGTAATCTGTGGTCCGTCTGTCTGGGTCCATGAATACGGTTTATTGACATACTGTCATTTACATGTCGTATTATTTTCAATTTTGGATTATGTTCATTTTAATATTTATGTCAATAAAAATTATTTTATTTTAAAACAATTCATGTGATTCTCTATAAAGTAATTAAAATATATATATATTTTGCTTATGGTATTAATTAATAATATTATTTGTGTCTAATTTTAATTTGACATATTTATTATTTGTGTTAGTTGATTCAATCATTGGCGTGTTTTATGTCGTGTTCGTGTCAATGAAAAAATTGACACTCATAATTGAATCAACCTGGGGTGACTATAATTTCTGTTGAGTTAAAATTTAATATAAATTTGTTTTTTTCATATATATTACTTATATTATTTATTATATTTACAATTAATAATTATAAATTATTTAAATCAAATTCGACAGTTAGAAATGGATCCTAGCATAGTAGCACCCTCCTCCTAAGATAAGAAGGAAGATTAAAACCAATCATATCGAAATTTAACTTTAAGTATCATACTAAAAGTAATTTTTAACAATTAATCTTTCTTTCTTTAATTATGGAAATGTTGAAGTAATGTGAAAATTATTAATTTTTTTAAAAGAAATTACTTGTCGATTTTTGTTTGACCAAAAGATCAGATATGATACTGAAAAATATTTTTTGAGAATAATTATAAGTACATGAATAAAATATTTATGACTTTGAGTTATTTATCAGTATCATACAAAATACAACAAATACGAAATTGAGAATTTTTTGAATAATTGAGGGTTTAATTCTATTTGTTTATTAATAATCTTAATTGATAATGATGGATTTAAGTTCGGTTACCTTCAAAGTCCTAAACCTCTTTCAGCTCACGCGAGATGACCCAAATATCTCATCCAAATAGTATTCACGAGGCCCGAATTGGACCACAATTCAATTCCATAGAAGCCCATAGTAATCCAACTTAGAATAGATGTTAGCTTGGCATAGACAAACTCGGTACAAATATCCACTGTCAATTCGTCAATGACTGTAACGCAACACGTGGACAAGAGACAAGGGAACAGTGCCTAACAATATTAATGAACCAATATCTACCTATAAGAGAGATGACTCACGTATTCTATTCAAGGTGTAGTAAACAAAGGAGAACGTCAAGGATGGTAGGTCTAGCAACAGGATAAACAAAAAGAGAATCATAGAATCAATCAAGAAAAAAACCACCGCAAAACCCTAGAGATGAGATGTATAAATAGCAAACGATATCACTGTATGTATATATATATATATATAATCACCCAACAGTAACATAACAACTATTCTGTAAAAAACTTCCAACCAAATACTTTGTAACAACAACCCTCTCTTTTAAGCAATACAATTCCCAATGAGAAAGATCCTCTCTTAGAGTGGATGTAAACTTAATCCTTCGGTTGAGGTGAATCACTCATATCATTGTCTTTGTCTCACCCGCTACACTTAGCACACTTTCTGTCTCATTGGCTCATTTTCATTCCCATTGGTTCATAACCCAAATTGTTCTATTATTGGGTAAATTGATTTCGAGTACCACCATTAATAAAAATTAATAATCGGGTATAAAATGTATGAATATAAAAAAAGAAATTAATACTCAACTTGGTAAATAAATTGAGAGAAATCTAACTAAATATTTTATATTTTTTTGGTCAGAAAATCTAACTAAATACAAAGAAGCCGAAACAAAGATAATAAGAATGAAAGGTTGAGTCAAATCTCAGACGGACTAATTCTTCAACTTTATAATAATGTCCACCCTATACAGTTGGCGTCGGCGTTCTACGGCTGTTGTTTGAAAACTTCACCTACATTCTCTGATGTGGCATAATATTCTATAGAGCCCATAATACGAAAAATTTGGCCTTGCCGATGCTACTTAGAGTTTTCTTTCATCATCTCCAAATGACTATCATAAATTTGATATTTTTACCAAAATGAAGGCCTTATGAAGTATGAATATGTATTATGTCTTAAAAAATGATTAAACCTAGATAAGTTTACTATGATGATTTGCTAATTATAGTTTTTGAGGCAAATTATTTAATAATAATTTTTAAAAATTAAAAAAAGAGTGATATCATCTATCTTATCTTAGTACGTCAACACAGTGAGAACAACTAATCAGAATCGACATTTTACTAGTTGATTTGCTAAAAACATCTTGTTATCAAAGACATAGGGTGCAATTAACCTGTATTATGTCCACTTCACACATGCTAGGTCGTAATTTTTTTAGAAACTCAAATTCATATAAAAATTCATACGTTTTTTTATGTATGCCGTTTTATAGAAATTCGAGAGGAAAACATATATTTAAAAGTGTTTAAATTTTTGATTACCAATAAATTTTAATTCTATCATACCTTATTTGACTCTATTAATCAGTTATCCGAAATAATTGGGTAGTTTAACAGAAGATTTTTATAGTTTTCTTATATATGATGTATTGATGTTTATTACTTTCTTGTTGTGTTTTATTGTAATTATTTATATATTATCAAATTTATTGTATTTTATTTAGTGTTATTGATTTATTGTGTTAATTAATTGATGTAGGTTATTTAATTAAATTGTAAAAATAATTTAAAAATTAATAACTAAAAAATATGTGTTTACCCGATTTCTTACCCGACTTTCTATCCGATTATTTTGGACAGAATTCGGGTAGAAATAGTATACTTGATCGTGTTGGATAGGACAAGAAAAAAATTCTTTCATAAAGTATTAAGTAGAAAAATAGAATATCATAATTCTTACCCGTAGGGTTGAGTGAATACCCTTACATATATTATTTAGTGCATATTATCAAACATTTAACAAATATCATAGAAAAATATGACATCTACTCTAGATTCTTCGACTTGAACGGAAGATTCGTGCTTTATGAATTAAAATGCTATACTGCTCAAATTTATTTACCAAATCTTGTATCAAAAATGAGGTGTTAAAATCTTATATATTGAATACTTGATGGAGTTAATGGACCCCATTGATCCAACCACTCACACTAATTTGTGATACAAAATTTAATAAATAATTTGATCGGCATAGCAGTACTCTTAAAACATTCATACAATATCTACTTCGACTTAAGCGGAAGATTCGTGCTTTATAGATTAAAACAGACATGTTTCATGTTCATTGTAGTCGAAATGGTTTCGTCTATAAACCACTTCCATTATGTTCTATGGGCTAAAGTCATATCTATGTCCGACAATCATATAAGAGTAAGGCGTAGGCCCATTTGGTTTGGCATTTACTATTATTAAAATGGGCCAGTGTTGGGCTGAGACAGTGGATTGCACTCCTCGTCAAAACCAGGCCTCTAAATGGGCCTGGGCCGAATTTGACACATTAGCCGACATTAAAAAGCCTGATTAAGGTCTAACCGTTATCTCTGTGTAATAGCTGAAAAATAAAATTATTAACTTATAAAAATACATTAATAACGAGGATTAATTTAACTTTTATCTATTTTGATCCAATTGTATAAAATTTATCCTAACATTTTTTCTTGCTAAAAATACCGTATTTTCTACACGACTCGTAAAATCAAATAATTCGACCAATACATTTCCCATTGCCAGATTACTTCATAAATTCACATCTATATTTCTTTTCTCTCTCCTCTACATTTATTTTCTTTGTTTAATCTTAAATTACATAATTAAAGAAAAATAAAAAAAAAATTATTATTTACAATATAAATGGTGTGCGATTGATACTTGACTTTGGGTATTGGTGAGTATCTTCGGACACAAGATTTTTGAAAAAAATAAAGGTTTAAAAAAAATAGAGATTTAGCCCTTAACGCCTTATGGATAAAAAAAAAAAATAAAGGTTTAGCATTTAAGGTCTCATCAATTAGATATATGCAAAATAAATCATGTAAAACTCACATAAGATGCTAATAGTCTGTGAATTTATACATAAGCTCATCTCTGAAAACACTTGCACCTCACGTGCTTCAATTTATGATAAAAAAAAATTAAACGGCAGCTTGAGCAAGATCTACAATGTTACCAATTCATAACATTAATGATGTAAATTAAAATTTTTAATATTTAGTGATACAAATTGAGAATTAAAACATTTTTTGGGATACAAAATGAGATAACCCTATAGAGTGTGTTGAATAGTGGTAAAATTGCCCTTGTGATAATTTTTCGGTCCATGATTTAAACGACAGGTGGTGCGAAACATAAAATTGATCAAAAGTATGGACTTTAAGAACTGAATTGACGAAATTAAAACTACATTGACTAAAGTTCAATAAGTGGTAATTTCAGTAATTGCTGTTATAATTTACCCTATTTTTTCTCAATCAATCCAACTGCTCAATTTCTCAGCTTATGGAAAGAATGTAAATGTCAAGTAAATATTTTATTTAATGATGATATAATTTTATTATTAATAGGCAAACAAAATGAACTCTACTCATACAAGTAGGGGTGTTCACCTTACCCTACATGTAGTAATTATGATATTTTATCTTTTTACTTGATATTTTACGAAAGAATTATTTTTTGGTCTATCCTACCCGATCAAGTGTATTATTTCTACCTAAATTCTGTCCAAAACAATCAAATAGAAAGTCGGATAAGAAATTAGGTAAACACATATTTTTTAGTTATTAATATTTGGATTGTTAACCTACATCAATTAACTAATACAATAAAACAATAATACTAAATAAAACACAATAAATTTGATAATACATAAACAAT